TTTAACGTATAAATAGTTACTCTTCATCATATTGACAGTCGACGGACATCGGCATTGACCGTGGTCACGATTTAATCACCCACGTTTCCGTGGTCGCTCATCCATTATCCGATTCGATTGAAAACGCGTACAATTCTCCCGAGAGCACCCATATCCCGGGGGAAGCCAACGGTCAAACAGACGAGATCTATCCATTTAATAAACAATAACCCGCGGCACTAGAAACCGGTAAATTAGTATAAAGGTCGTGAAGATGGAGTCCGCTCTAGAAACAATTCGGTGTATTCTGGGAATGCTTAAACAATTATTTAAAATTATTACCGCACTGAAAATATAATAAGTTTATAGAATAATTGTTATTTGTTACAGCAGTTATGATCTAAAGACTTTGGAGCGAGTGGTATTTTCATAAAAATACCAAACCATCGGGGAAGTCGCTGCTGCAGTTGCTGGAAACTGCGCATGCGCTTTGATAATCCTTACGTCACCCTCACTTGTCTTTACCACGGTTACTCAACCGGTAATCACAGTCGAAGAAGAAATAAACACAGAACAGCAACGTTAAAAACACTTTAATTGACCAAAAACTCCGATATTAAATACATCGTTTAATACCTACATTGAAGAGGAAAAACAAGAACAAGGCACGGACAGATTTAATTACACTGCGGTGACGTCATCGGCACATTTTTTTCCGGCCACTGACCTCGGAGGATAAATACCCGTTTAACGTGTGTGCTCTCTTATAAATTGAATTAAACTCTTTCTTTTCAATGTCATTCTTTATTAGTTTTAGTATAACTAAAGTGTCGAATAATTTAGTATTTAATTGTTGTGTTTGTCGCGAATAGCATGCTGGAAGGTATATTATTTGCATAAGCCGTTTGCCTACTGAACTCTGATCCCCTCCACTACCAGTATTTTTCAGATGCATTCCCGTGTTATCCCGCCATTTCATTTACTTCCATTTTATTTCATTTTTTTTTGTTCTTGGATGGTTCTCACATCCCTGGCGATCAAGTACCAGTCAGCATAACCTGTTAAACAAACATGCTCCACGAGAACTATCGTCGAATTGGTTACCATGACAATCTCAAAGAGTGTGCTCTCCGACACCAACGCATTTACGTAGTGATCGGCATCTTCAGAGAGATGAGGTATCTTGAAATTATGCATGGTCGTTTTACACCTCAGATTGGATGTCATCATTTTAGCCGTTAAAGCATGGCCGAATATATTACGCGCCGCTGTCGAGGAGCTCTCACGTTATGTCATTTACGTTTATTATCACGTGATACGATACGATACGCTAAGCGAGTGGCAATGTTGAAAATCTCAGGTGTAAATATATACCCATTCAAAACAGGGAACCATTTCAGAAGATTTAGCGAACACTTCAGAACTGACTTCTCGGGAAGCTACCGGAACGTGAACAGATTAAAATTGAAATTCTAAAGGTATTTCTGTCTAGGGTCTTCATTCCAGTTTTATGCGTCAAATCTCAACAACACGGATGTGATCGTTTAGTTGGCATAAACTGAAATATTAAAGGAAAGATCGAAGGTGGGCACTGGTCACCAATACTAAAACTATCGGTGATCTGTTGCGGTTAGATTTGATTTGTTTAAATGAATACATATATTTTTTTTACAATGCACCGGTGAGCAGTATTTTATAACATAACTTGTGTGGGCGTATCCGTTATTTTGGGATTCTATAATCAAAGGTCAAAATATGCTAGTGATCGTATTACACAGATGATCCTCTAATGCCAACAGTATAGCCAGGTGTTCTTGTCACTTGTACACATGTGTAATTGCATATACTTTCAGATTGTATTTTAATATTGCGTTTTTGCTCACGGATTGTTTATTTTGATTAGGCTGACAATGTAACAGAATTAAATTAACATTCACTTGGGAATTTAATTGTCTAATATGGTCACCAAAATTGGTTCTCATAGTTCCCATGGTGAGTTTGCATTATGATTCGTAGGTTTTGTAATAAAATGAAAATATTTCAACCAGACAATCAAAAAGGTTTTGTTATTACTGAAATGAGGTTTTTGGTTATAAATTGGCCTCTCTTGAACAAAAGAAATTGTATTTCACAGATTGGTTGTTACGGCAATGAAACTGCACATTTTCCTGTCAGAGGAAGCACTTAAATTAAGTCACGGCGCTTTGTGATTGGTCGGTTAGAAGGAGCTACTGGGCGTTGCCAGAGAGCGACATCACTCCGAGCGTTACTGAGCGGGCCAGCACCCTCAGTGGTTACCGAGCGTGATATAAAGTCCTCCAGACTTCAACTTTCCGTCGATCGAACAACAACGCTCTTGTTCCGGTGCACTTGGTTTAGCGGAGTCGCTTTCTTCATTCATCCATCGGATGTAAGGGATCGAACAGCAGTCAAGATGAAATCTGCTACGGTGATTTTTGTTTTGGGATTTCTTTTTCTGTCACAAGGTAAGAGTGTGCATATAGTGTAGTGGTTCCATCATCACGCGGTCGATGATATACTAAATGCCGTGCCATTTAAGAAGAGAGTTCTACATGCATTATAAACGAATCGCTTTAACTTCATGATTCTCGTATAATTATTTTACGAAGTGTCGGTAGAGACGTCGTTGAAATGTCTCTCTAAGTTAGAGCGTCGCATCTGACGGCCACTAATGACTGTGTTATTTGTTTTAAAATTATCTTGTGGTTACTGTGGATCTCGGGCTGGGTGTATCGGCTTTCGCTTCTCGCACGATGATTATTTTATAAAGCATCAGACTCGCGACGTCGTCGACAGGGCGTCAAGTTAGCGCTGTGTGTGACAGATGTGATGAATTACGACCCAGTCAATGTACTAACACACAACCATAACTAGGGGCCGCCGTATTTGTAGATTTCAAGGAAGACACTTTGCAATTAGCATATATATTGCGAACCACTATTTTACCATCACCGCAACTACTGGTACATATATAAAAAAAACTTGGTCGGAGGAGAGGATCAGCGTAACGAAAACGTAACATTTGTATTTGTGGCGGGTTTTAGACATATTCGCTCAATGGGTTTTTAATATAGTGATTTTCGAATGAGTTGTTATTACATAAAGTGAATTAACCTGTCGGTTTTATTTAATCAACAACACTAATTAAACCCCGTTATCAATACTTTTATGGTGTTCAATTTCGTGGGTTTCGTAATAACCCTTTTCGGTCTCAACTTAATTAATTTGCGCTGTAAGATCGTTGTCGTAATTTTTCTTTAATGAATAATTAATTAACTGACGGCAATACTACCCTGATTAATTTCATTATCGGGCGATTAGCTGTTACCATTATCTCATCGTTAGAGTTCCATTTTAAATTAAGCGCATATTCCCTGAAGATGAATTAGGGCCCGGTTACATCACGAGTCATACAGAAGATTTAAGCACCTTAAGACGTTTAGTTGTTTCATTATTAAAGCGTCATAACAACCAGATAAAGTCGGATGGGTGCGAGATGGCATTTCATGTATTATTAAACAGACCATAATGTAATCTACATGAAGGAATATTTCACTAATTTCTCCGGGGAAAATTATTTCATTAATTGCCGCTAACTGTCTTGTTTTTTTAATAAATGTTCTGCATCAAAGAGGCCCTGTGCTGTAATCAATTCTGACGTGTAGCTGCTCCTGTCTATGTCCGACTCGTTTTATGATATTTCAAACAAAAATTTATTGCATCTTATATTTTTATAGCCGTGTGAAAAAAAAATTAAATATGTGCTTAAATCATAAACGTCCAACTATTTATCCGACACTTAAATGTTTCCATCGCGAAATCAAAACGATATATTGGAAAATTGTTGATGGTTTGGCTTGTTGCTACGCTCGATATCCTTAGCGACGAACAACATCGCGTAATTATTAGCAAAGATTAGTGAAAATTGCGACTGTTAATGAGTTCATTAGTGATTCTTTATTTGGTGGTCTGATATTAGTACGTACATATATATGTATAAACAAATTCAACCATTCAAACCAACCATTTGAGCTGATTTGTCACGGGTACGAATACTTATTTTAAATTAACCCTCTTATAATGATTCAACTAAATGAAGTGTTCAAACTGAGAGACGTTCTGGGAAATTAAAATTGTATGTTTCGCCTCAATATATTTATTTCTGAAATGGATATATGGTCGGTTATAATTAACGATGAGTGATGAATTAAGTTTAATTGTAATTAAGCATTCAGTCAAATTAGAAACGTACACACATTTGGGATGTATTAAGTATGGCAATGGAATTAAAGGTAGAAAGCTACTTAATTATTTTGAGAAATTTGGTTATAAATCGCAAGACGATGGTCATCGTTTTATCACGTACTAGTACAGCCCGTGAAGCTACATCTCCATGGTAACATGAAACACAATTTTTTTGTATGTTATAGTTAACGTAGTTTGACAAAAAAAGTAGCAACAATATTATTTAAAATTGCTGTATAAAATTTTAACTCACTTATCAAAACCCAAATTATTGGAACAATTCAGGATACTTAAAATCATGTCACCAAATATCAAAAATGAAACTAATGGGAAAATGTTTTAATATTCAAACAATGCCACCATCATTTCGCGGTATTTCAATTAATTCAACACCGTTGAACATACATTAACATCACTAAAATCATTTTTCCAAACCCTTTTTTTTTTCGCAAAAAAATATACGGTGACACTAATTCTTTTCTTTATATTTTCAGTGTCGTACTAGGTAACGAACTTATAATAATGACGAAAGTTTAACGAAAACGTCACAATACATTAAAATTCGGTTCGAGACACTGAGTCGTTTGCGTGTCGAATGCGATAAATCGCTAGTCGCTGATTGGCTGTTTTCGATTCTAGTCACGTGCCTTTATAAGTATGTATAATACTAAGAGAGTGAAAAAAAAAGTTCTCAAATTCTGGGAACGTTTTTCGATTGGATTTGGCACTCCACTGGGACCTAGTCTCATCGGCATGGAAGTTTATCTTACAAGATGGATGGGAAAGGCTCGTGGGTTTTTCGCTGACCTGGGACACCATGTGTCTATCACTTAATGGTACTTCGTACAGTTTAGTATATTCGTTTACCATTCCCAGGTCTGTAATCCCGAGGACGAATGCCTGAACGTACGACATTTACTATAATATTTCCGGAGATTGTGGCTGAGTTTCACCAAATAAAATACTTCACTCAAAATAAATGAATAACACATTTAAGTTAATCATTTATGCAAAAAATGTATGTGTACAAACAACACACAAAATGCATTAAATCGCCGTGTATAGTGTCACATCATTAATAATTATTCAAATTCAGCGGTGAATCTTTATTGCATTTTTTGGTGACCTTTGTCGAAACTCGGATAGAAAAAAAAACGAGCCTGTTACCATGACAACAATTTAATGAGTCTCTCGAGTTTAGTGACAAGAATTTGAAGCAACACGCATGAATTAATTGTTTTTCAAGTTAACATCGATCGGATTATCTTATCTATGCAGTAACTCGTTATTCACAAATATGAGATTACACAACAACTTTATTTAGTGCCATGGCGCGTCACTTCGTTGAAAAGCTGCTCGGTTCAAACCCCGAAAGACACACATTACATAGAGAGATTTTAAAGCAGAAATATTTTATCATATAGCCACATAGTGTCAATGCCTCTCCCGGCTTTTCGACTTGAAATATCGAAGACTTTGGAATTCACATGGTTTTGTGTGGCTATTGAGTGCACGTGCACATTGTTATGCATAGTATGGGACCCACGTCGAACGCGCATACGAGTATGTTGACTGTCGGACTGTCGGATACGGAAACATTTCGGAATTTAACCTTCCCGATATCCTCTTACAATAAAATTCAATTTATAGCTTGTGCGATTTCGGAGAATAGATCTTTTTTGTCTTTGAATTCAGAACACGATTTCAGTTGAAATGCTTCTCGAGACAAACATGACCAATTAACAACACTCTCTGAGGTTCCGAGTGCAACTCTGAGAGCTAGAAAACCCCACTCTCCTGATTTACTTATCACCACTGTGATGCCGTGAGTAAAATTCCAATTTATTCATCCACGACAAACCTACAGATGAAATATTATTGTATGCGTTACAATGAACGAACACGTTACCGTGACAATACGTTGCCCTGGGACTACGCGTATGCGCATCAGTGCGCCTTCGCAATAGTAGGACGCCCAAGGACGCCCTAGGACTGTGGCGTCTGCGCTTCAGTACGCAATGGCAATTCAGCATTTGATCAAATATATTCAGATCGTACCCGGGGGTCGTACACACAATGACTGTGCTTTTTTCTATCTTCCTCTGAATGCGGTGTCCAAACTTTTGAGTTTGTCATGAACGAGAAGTTGAAATAAAATGGTATTCCCCTCAACCTATCGGCGTTGCGAGAGCGATTTGAACGATCTATCATTCACTGAAAAGAACGATTATTTCCCAAATAACTCTTCATTACTCTCTCGTGCACATAAGCCTCTCTTTTTTTCATCACATTCAGTGTTCTTTGTAGTTGTCTTGGAGATCTATAATCCCCTACATTTGTTTCCACGGAAACCATTTACCACTGAAAGGCAACGCGGAAGCAGCGATTCCGCATTTTGTGTACAAACGTCCTGTGTTCTGTTTTATGTCCCTTTGTGTTCACGTTCGTCGAAACTTGTAATTTAGCCGGAGTGGGCGACTCGCTTCTCTGAGACGAGTAACCACAGCATGGAGCAGACTCCCGGAGTCTATGAACGAACCTCCATAAATTTAAAGTGTGATCCACAGTATGACATTTACGCGTAGACCGTTGCCACACGAATGTATTTCTTTTAGATACGGAAGAACTGACGTTACATAAATATTACTACCACGCGGTGAATTGGTATTGTTTTTTTTATCTTTCTCAGTCGGGTTTCTACAAAATAAAATAGCTTTTATATAAACTATTTACTCGAGAGTGGTATAATGAAACGTTCTCTGTTGTAATACATGTCTAAGTAGATAATAGAACCGTGGCGGAGCTGTCCCGGTTTCCGATTTCCCAGTAAAAAAAGAAATCAGCGTAGCTGCCGTCACGCTGGTGCGGGCAATTCATGTAACTGTATTTCTAAAGAAGATTATATATCGGTTGCTATGGGTTTTTTTCTCTCCACAGCATGGAGCCGCCCCCTCAGCCTCCGAAAGAAAAGAGCTCAAGACGACTCAGACGAAAATAAGGAGCAGAAGTTGAATTCTCAGGTTAGCTAATATATTTAGTTTTTAAGATAATGGATCGGTAACAATTGAAAGAAAAAGAAATTGAAATAAACACAATTTGGCACGTTCATGGATTTAGCTCTAACAGTCCCGTTGTCGATTTCTAAGTTGGAAATCAAGTCACGTTCACGTGATCAGTGATTGACACATGCGGCGAGAACATAACATCGGTGTTTGACGTGATTAGTTTTCCCGTCGCCGAGTATACATAGTTCATGCATGGTAGCTTTGTGCATGACTGATTCACAATACTGGTCATGCATACATCATACGCTGATATTTCAGTGGTTTTGACGCAGCAGCAATATACGCATTTATAAACATGTATTCTTCTAGTCAGATTGTACATTACTTCATCAAATTAACTGCAACCGAACTGGCATCCCTAGTAATAGGGATGCTATTTTTTACGGTGGAAAAAGGAAAAACGACAAACAAATAAATTCGATTTGCCGTGATAATTGAAGCGGTGCGCCCTCTTTAGTCATAATATTCAGTACAGACACACTATCTCTTACGCAATTGTTGTACCGTGAGATTATCATGACAGGGTAAAAAAGAATAAATTATTTAAAACCGGCAAATCGCACACTATTAGCAGGGGTCGAGGCGCGTTCAGTGAGTTCAGAATCACATGTCACAACCAGTCAAACGTGCTAAGTCACGTGACTGCCAGATTTTTTTTTGCACAGCTGAGTGATTTTGCTCACGATCAGAACCCATTTTTTGTTATTTCAAATCGTTGGTTAGTTTATAATCGTAATCGAGGCATGCCAGCAATGATTGGGTCGTAGCAGAAGTAATGTAATCGTGTTGTCTAGCTACGAGTACTTATTATGGTGGAACTTCCCTCTTATAGTACACGTCTGCGTCAGTATAAATGAGCGCGACTTGACAACCTGAAGTAGGCTGAAAAACATCCGCTACTCTCCCACGAACTATTGTTAATCATGTATTTGTTAATTCTTCACGCTAAAGCACGGCTAACTCCAATGTTGGCGACAATGGGCTAGTCGTAGCACGATTATTCACTGGACTCAAATTAAATTAATCGGATTTTCTCGTGTGTTTGATACACTTCTATACCACGGAGAGAAACGCATACGAACGTTAGTATTTGCATACATTTGAGCACACGTAGACGCGGCGACCACAACATTACAAGAAAATGTATGGAGAAAGGGTGGTTAAAACGCGTTCGCGATTTTCTCAAATGCCCATAGTACGGATTTACACAGGTTAAACTGTGTAATACGTAATACACTCACAGTCCCAGTTTTCAGACACTTGCCGATCACATCTAAAGCTCTATTTTACTTCACCGCTCCGCTGACAATTGTTTATTCTGGTTGTAGGAAACACGCTTTCTAAAAATTTTATGGGAACAGAATATTGTATGATATACAAATGAGTCCGAATACTGGTATACTGTGTTGATAGTGTGGTAAAGCCATTGTTTACATGAAGTGCAAACGGCTAATTTCAATTCGATACATCGTAGCTCTGGCCAGAAAAATGGTTGCAGTAACCGTCGACTAAATCAGATTCAATAAGTTCTGTCTCATTTGTTTTCCGACTTTTTGAGAAGAATAGTTCAAAAAATGTGATACATGACTAAGGGGAGCACTAACAGCACACGTTTTAAAGTCGCCCGTCACCACTTATCAACCACTCAGACGCTCAAATACGACTGAAGTCAGTTGCCATCCGTTCACTTTTCCTTCTTTTAAACGCTTATACGGAAATAGGCTCAGATTAAGCTGCTATTGATCGGCCACTTCCTTGTTTCGGCTTGGCGACTCTTAGGTCGGTAAGTCTACAAAACAGCTGCAGATGAGAGCTACCTATTAAAGAGAAATGCGAGATTTGAAATGCCTGAATAATAATAAACTCTGTGCAGTCAACAAGATATTGTTACCCAATACGGTAAATTGTGGTCGATATGCAAAAATGTTTTTTTTTTTAATTTATTTATTCTCGTTACTCATGCAGCGAAACACACTGTTACGTGACAGACGTGTTTTAACTGATTTTGAACAGTCACTCGCCATGCATGAATGGAACTCGCCTATAATTGATGATTTCCGTGTCGACGCTCGCTCTGTCTTTAATCATCCACGTAGTAAAAAATATAACACATTTTATTAAAACATGCATTTGGAAATAATTGATGAGTTTTATTTGCTCTACGTAAAATAGTTAACGTTTTAATTAATTGATTATTTAATAAGCGACGTTTTGCATTAGTTGTGCTTTTGATTTGGCATATGATAATATTTTTTGCATATTTTTAAATAATATCATCGAGAAATTCTGAGCAAAGCAAGTTCACAATATCATAAAATTACATGAACATTTCCATTGGAGTTAAAAGGTGGTGGTCGTCGCAACGATTTTCCTAAAATCCAATGCGATAATTCCGTGACCAGCGTGAATAAGAGTTTTGATCTGGTCGACAGGTGCACTAAATACTGACTTTGGCTCCTTGGAGTCATCCGATGCGTTCCAATCATCACAGAAATTACTAGTACCTAGATAAACGTCGACAGTGTCTTTGTTTCGTACGCGTGCGCAACAAACAAAGTTGCCATCTTTGTTAATACGGACGCTAATCTCACGCATGCGCGGCTCGACGACCACCGCATTGTCTTGATATTTGAAATGAGTGCTTCAACTTGCACGTACGTAAATTTAGTGCTTACACAAAGCGCATGCGCATTTACAATAAACCACAATGCAGTGTGAATACACATGTATTATATTAAAGAGAAATACAAAAAAGATATGTTATATTTTTTTTTAAATATTGATACATGGTATTCATTTGGGGGGCAGTACGGAGACAACGTTGATTGAATAATCTTCATGTGTTCAATTTCTTTTCACTGAAGAGTCATTAAATTGATTAAAGTAAATCCCAGTGAAGATGCACGTCTGTATGAAACAGCAGTTGAAGTAGATATTTACATTGTGGCAATAAACACAACTTTTTTAAACACAACAAATTTTCAGCAAAGAGTTGACATTCCTGCTAAAAAAAATAACGTCGTTATTATATGACGTTGCCGAATCAGTGCGACATACCTCGGTTTGGTTAGTAATCGTTCATTCCCGCAGGGTGTTCAGATTATTCAGTTATTCCGACTTTTATTCAACGAAATCCTAAGATAAGCCAGGGTTTAGGCAAAACAGCATCGTACGTCGTGTTGTAATACTACTTCAACGTCTAAGTATACTCACTGTAGGTTTTCATCCTCCCCTCCCCTCCCAAAAGACATACTGTGGGTTTCGTTTTACGAATTGTGGATTTTATTGTTTATTTATGGTTACTTACACGGGTTATTCACCAATCCATCCATTGGTGGGAGGGGGTACTTGCTGTTCGTCGCGCACCACACGCATCGCACAATGCCGGGAATTTCGTGAGACTATTGCGTATGCTGTTTTGCGTCGTTTTGATTCATGGTGTGTGTGACCGGGTGTGTGTGGCGTGGTTACGATATTTGAGTGGTACATCGGTCTTTTGGAGCAAATATGAGACTTTAGAACATTCCACACCTGTACTGAATAATGATGAAAGAAACATGACATTCCTTGACTGAATATCACCTGAATAGCAAGCTAATAACGCAACATTTACTACATTTTTGCATCTAGAGAATTTTACTGTCGTGAGGTTAACTGGGGATCAATTGCTGCTGCATTATGGTCTACTTACTGAATCTACCGTAAACTAATATCGCGCACATGTGGATTATGAGAAGGCATATACTACTTGCTGCTTTGTGGATTAAATTTCATTAGATGTGTACTTGGACGTGCTTATTCATTGTTACTTTAATGACGTTGTTCCATTTCATTACCGGGCTTGTTAGTTCCATGTACATGCATTTAATCAGCTAGGCATTCATCAACGCGTTTCTGAGTGAAAGCGCAATACAGGTTATATGTCAAGTGGACTCGAACTGTGTCTAGTGGATTTGAAC